GCATTTTAAGTACATTAAAATGCTAGCATTTTAAGTACATTAAAATGATAGCATTTTAAGTACAACTCACATTTCTATAACAATGAGATTCAGACACCACAAACAAATATAGTCATTTGGAGTCAATGCACTACTCTCAGTAACTAAAGTCACTAACTACTTCCACCAAACTATGTTAGGTAAAACAATATCATAAGAAGCAGTTAATTCCATAGGAACAACACTATAAACAAAAAATAGATTCCTGAGTAGAAAACATTCAGTCTACAAAATCTTTAAAAACAGGTCTTTACAAGTACCTGAAATAGAAGGTACTGAATTTCTAGGGCTGAGCAGATTCAAGGGAATTAAAGGAAAGATGGGTGCTAAGACTACTGCTACCACCAATAAAGGGGAGCCAGGGTCAGCAAGAACAAGAGATGGCTGCGCTTTAGGAGAATGTTTTGAGTTACATGGACCTACCCAATCCTCACTCTATCTTGGCAGCCAGGAGCACTGGGCTACAGATGTAATGACCAGGGCCAAAAGGAGAGGCAGCATCATGCCAGGCACAGGAGAAGGCCCACCCTGGTGCTTGACTTCCTGGATGGATGCACTAGGAGAGACATGGGTGTACCAGAAACACATCCCTCTGACCCTATCAAGATGTGCCCTCACCTTCCAAGTATAAAGAGACCTTCCACCATGTCCCAGAAACTGTACAACCTTCTTTTTTTGAAACTGACTTTTTAATTTGTGTCTCAGGCAGATGAATTTTGAGATAGAGGGATTGTGTGATATTATGGTGTGGTCTGGTTAAATGCCTAAACAACATTAAGCCAGTTCTTGCTCAACATAAGTAGACCATTCCACAGACCTTCTCTTTCTCTCACAAGAGTCTGCTCCATGACTCTGTGCCCCCCGAGAGCTGGAGTGGGTTTAGTGCATGGGCCAGAGTGGCTTCAGGATGACCCTTGGTGTAGGGCTGCACTGGCACTACTGCCTGCTAGGAGCCGGAGCAGAGCCTAGGCCAACATGGGGAGTCAAATGTATGTTATGTGAATTTACATAAAGCAAGAACTGTATTGTACAAAGACGCTGACTGAAAGGACGTCATGTGAAGTACACCCAAATATTAGAATAAAACTTCAATATCTGGGACTAACGAGGCAAAATATTTGGTTCAAGAGCTTCCTGTCTCCGTTCAACTCAGGATTAAACTTAAAGTTTGATTCATGCCCAATGTGCCAACCAGCATGAAAAAGCAATTATTGCCTTTCTCATTTTCTTCTATCACCTGCTGTGCCCTGTGCCAAGCCTGCTCATCATACCACAATAGGTAGCGGGGGGCGGCTTTCGGGAAGAGAAGATCTGCAAACTAATTTAATTTGTAATTAGGAGCTGATGTTCAATATCCAGAATCATTGCTGGGTTGATGGTCATTCAGATCCAGGAAATCCAACTCAGACCTCAGGCTCTGTGGCCTGGAGAGAAATAAGAAGGTTGGACCCAGTCTTGAAGACCTGGGTTTAGATCCTGCCTCAGATATTTACTAGCTGTGTGAGCATGGACACATCATTGTACCTCTGAGTCTCAGTTTCCTGCTCTGTAAATAGGGGGTGAAAACTGCTGGAGTACCTATCTTACAGGGTTTCTGTGAGGTTCAAATAAAAACTTATGTAAAGTGATTTGTAACCTTGAGAGCGATTCTGTATAAATGTTGGTCATCACAATCAGGCATGTCTTCACTCACATTTCCTTTGGTGTCACAGCCATCCGGGCTCTCACCAAATCCAGTGGATAGGTGATAGAAGCAGCAGTCATACCAGCCAATGCACCAGCAACAAGCCTTGGCCAAGGGGGCAAAGCACTGAAATGAAGTGAGGGAGACAAACAAGAGGGGAGAATAAGGAGCAATGAGTCACTTTGATAACCTTAAAGCCTAGAAGTTGAGCTATTCTGTGCATGACAACCTCTTGGCACCAGTGGTGTTAAGAGCTGGCCCTGCCTGGATCTTGTGGCAGTGAGAATAACAGAAAGCATACTCGAATGAACATCAGACTCAAACTGTGGCTAGGCTACTTACTGCCTGTCTGAGCTGAGGGCAAGTCACTTAATCTGAGCCTCAGTGTCCTCATCTGAAAAATGGGGGAGGTGGATGATCTCCATAGTCCCTTTCAGACTGTATACCCAGGTAACTCCTTCTGCTCTGTAGTCATGCTTGCTGCTGAGGCCACTTTTTAGATCTGTACCTTTCAGAGATTGCTTGGGCACCTGGACTCTTTCCTTGACAGCAACATATATTATGTACTAGGTGATGAAGGGCCACTGTCTCTCCCTGTTCATTCTCTGGTTTTGCTTCTCCCCATCCCCACACCCACAAGAGAAAGGCATAACAACGTCTTCACTGGCCAGCTCAACAATGGACTTTTGTATCAGGCTGAGAAGAGCAGCACCAAAGATATCAGGTCACCTCATCTCACTGCCCTCCCTGGACAAGCCCACATCTCTGTGGAGCAGCTCCAGGCCTATGTACACTGGGCATGATGCTGCCAGTGCGTGCATAAAATCAGCAAAAACTCAGGCTGCTACCCTTCTAAGTCAGCCCCACCCCATTTCCAGGGCCCCTTCTGCCTTACTCGCCCTCGAAGCCATAGTAACGGCCCAGCATCATTTTGTACTCTTCGTGGGCACTAAACTGGATGGCAGCATAGGGGATCACCCGGACCATGGTGGCAGAATTGCCTCTCCACAAGCTGAAGAAGCCTTCATTGAGGTAGGTGAAGTAGATGAGCTTAAAGGCTTCCTACATACAAGAAGAAACAAGAACAGTAAGTGAGTAGATTGTAGAAAAAGCACCAGGTGTTGCTTTGCTTTTTGCTTGCTTTGCCTTTCAAACATTTCACTTGGGGTAGAGCAAGTCCCTGCAGGGTGGGATTCCTGGGCTGAAAACCTGAACAAATCGGAAGACATTAGCCATTTACACTCTTCCCTTAAGGCCCTAGCACTCTGGAGAGTAGGCTAGCCCCCTGTATAGCTGCACATACTCAGACACACAAAGAAAACCAGAGCTGCAAAGAGATTCCCAAGAACCATACAAAGAGACAGTGCCCCTTGAAAGCTCCAAACCATCATCTCTCAGTCCGAGCAGTGGTGGTACCAGCCACACCATGCAAGGTAGCCTTGTCAAATCACTGGGTGGCAAAGACATACCCTATACCTTAGGCTTAGGGGGTTCAGGTCCCTCATCAATCCCTGAGATTTAGTTTGGGAAGGAGGAATAAAGAAAAAATTGCATATTTCAAGGAGTTTTCTTTTCTTCAACATTTTATAAGAACATGTTCTGCAAATAAAATGCAAGCAAGACAGCTGTTAACCACCCCAAAGAGGAATGCTTTGAGGGAGCTGGTAAGCAAATCCTTTAGGTCAGCATGGGTTACGCACTTTGCCTCACCTTGGCAGAAAATCTTTTTGAAGACACTGGAAAAAACACAAGAATAAGAGACTGTTAGGACTCGCAGGACTTGTCAGGAGCAAGATCGAAGTTCCATGTAACACCAACACAGATCATTTCTGTCATTGACTGAATCAAAGTTTGAAAAATGTGCTGCTATTACTGATGAACTGTAAGTAAAGGACGAAAACTTTTAGGTCTGGAATCAGAATTTTACTTGACATTCTTAAAACCAAAAAATTGAGTGATACTTTAAGTAATAAAAATTCCCAAGGTCCGTCACTCATTAGAAACAGGGGCTCTCTCTCTCTATTCTTTACCCTTCTGGAATTTTCCCCTTCCAGGCTGTCCTCACAAGACATACTGTTCCCTGAAGGACAGTCAAAGGTTCCAAACCAAAGAATGGGCAGTGATTCACACACCCTAGAGGGTTGTTACCTGTTGCAGAGTGGGGCTGCCTTGGGGAGAGGATGCAGTCCTTTCTGCCCAGGCTTTAGCAAAGCTCTCCGTCCTCCTCTCCATAGCTCCCTGTTCTTGCTTCATTTAGGCAACAGAGAAACCACATGAGGCTGGGACCCCACATGGCACCCCTCACATCTCTACATCATCATTGGTGGCTCAGCAGCCCTGGAAATATGGGCTTTCCCAAACCTGGGAAACCCTTAAGAGGTCTGGTCCTGATTGAGTGCCTTTGGCTCTTCTACCCAGTAAAGAACAATCTTGTATTCTCCTCAACCTTCTCTTTGTCCAGGCCAACTTTGTTCAAAGGTTGCCTGTTCCCAGACAAGGAATTAAACTATATATCACTGCATTTATTTGAGTGCCTACTATATGCTCAACAGTATGAAGGATACAAAAGAAATGCAAGATACAATTCCTGACCCCAAGGAGCTTACAATCTGGCTGGGGAGATAAAATACACACCCTGAAACAATAATACTGTGAGCCAAACAAAGCCAAAGTGAATAGAACAAATGGTAGATGCTAAAAGTCTATAAACTAAAGAGGAATTCCTTTATTCAAAGCAACTGAAAAAACAAAGTCAAGCAAAAGATGAACAGAAGTAAAAAAAAAAAAAGTATCTTATAAGAGACTACTTCTGGACCCACTAGGAAAGTTTCATGCTAAGGAGGAATCCTTGATCTCCACTGAAGGATCAACAATACTTCCTATTACTCTGAGGTGCCCTGGATTGATCCTGCTTAGATGATAAGGACTGGCAAGGCCCCAGGGCAAAGCAATAACAGAAAGCTCTAGGTAGAAGCTGATTATTCATAAGCTAAATTATATTTTCACATGAAGCTATAAGGAAGCAGCTAGGTGCCTCAGTGAATAGAGGAGTGAAACTGGAATCTGGAAGACCTGAAATCCAGCCTCAGATATTATTAGTTGTGTGGCCCTGGGCAAGTCACTTAACCTCTGTTTGCCTTAATCCACAGAGAAGGAAATAGCAAACCGCTCCAGCGACTTTGCCAAGAAAACCCTACGGACAATATGGTCAGTCTACAGGTCCATGAAGAGCTGGACATGACTGAACAACATGAAGCCATAAAAGGCTCTAATGGCCTAAGTTGGGCCCTTCCTTGTTGAGAGTTCTGAAAGCCAGCTCCAGCCTATGCTAGTACCAGGGTCATGCCAATGGAGGGCATGCAGAACCCCAGGCAAATCACACTTAGATGGTTCCCATCATCATTACTCTTTATATTTGTGTTAAAATGTATAAAGGATAAATGTAAAAAGTATAGTCTTAAAGGAAAAGTCACAAAGGTTTTCTGATTGAAAAGAACAAGCTTGGCCCAAGGGCATGTGTGTTCTGAAAGTAAGGTGGAACAGTCCTAACTCTTCTGCTTGGGGGGCTGGGAAGACTTGGCTGATGATACTCATATAAGATCAGGACTTTTCAGCATGAGCTGGTCCCTTCAACCACCTTGCCTGGCTTACTGTCCAGTCACTAAGGAAGAGGGCTTAGGTAAAAAGCACAAGCCTCCCCTCCAAGCTTAGACGTAGGACTGGTTCAATCACTGCAGTTTTCTATAGAATGGAACCTTGGGTATAACAATCTTGGCAGTGATAAGGGACCTTAGATTTCTCTTGGTTCAGTCCCTGGCCTCTTAATGTTTTTAATGGACAGGGTGTATTCAGCTTCCATTCAAATATCTCTTGGAATGAGTCAGTCTGTATGTTCAGGGAAGGTCCAAGGAAGGTGTTTACCCTATGTCTTCCTTAAAGAGGCACTGCTTAAACTTTAAAGGAAACCATAACAACCACCACAACGATAACAATCATAATAGCTAACATTTATATAGCACCTACTATGTGCCAGGCACTGTGCTAAGCTCTTTACAATTTTTATCTCATTTGATCCTTACAACAACCCTGGGAGATAGGTACTATAATTACCCTCATTTTACAGATAAGGAAACTGAGGCAAACAAGGTTAAGTAACTTGCCCAGTGTCATACAGGTAGTGTCTGAAGTCAGATTTGAACTCAGGTCTTCCTGACTCCAAGCCTAACACTCTATTTATTTCACCATCTCCACTTAGACATTCTTTAAGATGAAAAATGCTATAAAAGCAAATATTACTTAAAGCCCCCCAAATAGTTCAACAATGAAAAGTATTCCACTCATTGCACAGCCAAATGTTTGAACAGAGAGGGCTGATGGTTAGTGGTGGGAGACAATGATAATTATTAACACAGAAGAAAAGAAAAAAAGATAATGAAAAACAAACCAGCTCCTTTCAAGAAACAAGGGATTTTGTGAAGCATTGAGCCAAATGGCAGAGGCAATACTGTATGGTGGAAGCAGCCCCAAGCTCCACCAATACGACCTTAGGTAAATCACTTAACTGTTCTATGCTTTGGTTTCCTGATCTGTAAAATGAAGGAAATGGACTAGACCAGTGGTGTCAAACTCAATTAGAACCAACTGCACATTGGCTTAGAAAACCTTAAATGAACATTATTTATGTGGCACTGTACTTTTATTTATTTTGTTAAACACTTCCAGTTACATCTGGATCTGGTTTGGGCTGCACCAGGGGATTCTGCAGGACCTCATTTGATACCTCTGACCTAGAGTATCTCTAATGGAACTTCCAGTTCTAAAATTCTCTGTGTTCCATCTTTTAAGGTTCTTCCTGCTCTGGCATTATGTAATTTCTGTTCTTGGGTCCTTTCCAGCTCTACTAAGTTTGCTGAACTTAATTAAATATTGTCTGATTTGGTGATTTTATGATATGGGCAGCTTCCACTGAAAAACATGGTCTTCTAAACATGGACCCCAAATATACTGAGCTACAGTTTCACTGTCTAGTTATAAAATATCAACAGAGAGGACTCAGATATGATTAAAAAGAAAGTGTCTGTGGGATCCATGGTTCTGTGGGATCGAAGCATGCTTTCAATCAGTCAGCTATGTGTAGCCCTAGCATCCCAAGCCTCTGACTGCCAAGCTACAAACCAAGACAGGAATTTGCTCATTACACTGTTGATAGCTATCTTCAAGTATCTGAAGGGCTGTCATGTGGAGAAGATATTAGACTTGTTCCGTTTCAATCAAATATCTATTTAGCACCTACTATGTGCCAGTTGCAGGGGATACAAATATAAAGGATGAAATACTTCCTACTTGCAATGAGTTTACATTCTAATGTTTGCCCCTGCTCCCAGCCCATCTGAGAGCGGAACCAGAAACAATGGGAAAGCTGCAAAGAGCCAGAAAAAAACTTCCTAACAATTCAAGCTGGAGAAAAGTGAAATGAGCAGCCTTTGAGAGCTGATGGGCTCTCCCTCCTTGGAAGTCTTCAAGGAAACAGCAGATGACCACTTGGCAGGTATGTTATAGTAGGGATTTCTTTCATGTGAGGCTCAGATTCTATGGCCACTGAGGTGCCTTCCAACTCTCAAACTCTGACCAAAAGAAGCCCTTTCTAAGGTAATAAGGAATATGGGAGAGGAGGAGGAGTGGGCAGGGAAGGCACTGAAGAAAATGAAAAGAGGCAGCATGGTACAATAAAAAAGGTACTAGCCTGAGAGTCAGAGGGTCTGATTTTAAATTCTGATCTGGTCACTTATTACCTGCATAACCCTTAGCAACTCAGTCATTTGCCCTTCCTAAATCTCAGTTTTCTCACTCATAAAATGGGGGATAGTCATACTTGGGTTTTAAGCATCAAATGCTAGAAGTAAAACTATAATTTTTTCTATGACTTTATGATGTGCAATGTAATTGAAAGAGGTCAATAATTAATCAAGAAGCATTTAAGTTCTTACTATGTGTCAGGTACAAGGTACATACTGGGGTCTTGGAGGCCAAGTCAGTTGATGCAAGTGGTTGCTTTGTCAACATTGATAGCCTAAGCTAAAATCTGGAATGGCCATGGCTTCTCTGGAACACCAATCACTCCAAAACACTTTTTTTCTTATTTTATATGAGAAGGGAACAAAGGCCTGCTATAGCCGTGGTGGGAAGGTAGGGCACCAGTCAGTGTCAGAAGTAGCAGCCAGGCCTTCAGCACCACTCTCAATACTTAGAGATATTTATGGGTAGTAACTCTGCTGAAGTCCATTTCATCAATTTATCCAGAAAAGTACCAAGAAAAGTAAATTTCCCAAGCACTTGTTTGTCCAAGCAAATGTTAACTTCTCAGAGTTTCACTGGAACTATGAGAAGCTAAAATGGGATAAAGTTTTAAAAGTGGATTGAAGCCAAAACGTGAAGTCTTAAATGCCAGACAAAAGAGTTTGTATTTTATCCTAGAAGCAACAGAAAACCACTGAAGATTCTCGAGTAGGGGAACTATGGTGTCAGAATTACGGCTTATAAAGATTACTATGGTAGAAGCTATGTCCAGACTGGAGAAAGGGAAGACAAATTATGAAAAAGAGCTAAATACCACATGTCACTGGAATGATACGCCTTTCCCTACTGATACTCTAACCAGAGGATGCAAAGAATACTCCTCTTACTGAGGGTGGGGTGAGATGTGGTTGTGCCTGTAACTCTCTGTGTAATACATGGAAGACATGAGAAACTGTGAAAAGCTCAGTAGTTCCCCTGTGCAGAATTCAAGGTGCATTATCAGGGAGACTCGAGTTAAGCATACACTAGGGTGCAGGGGAGGAAGCATTCAATTTGGAGGCAGAAGGCCTGGAAGTGAATCTTGGGTCTGTTTCTTATGACCTATGTGATCTTGGATAAGTCCCTTAACTTTTCTGGGCCTCCATTTTCTAATTCAGTCCCAAAAGAGAGGGTTAATAATGTCTAAGATTACTTCCAGTTCTTTAAACACCTTGGAAAATGGATGTGCAGGGCTGAGGAGGATGCTAACTTTAGAAGGAAAGAGAAATCTAGAGTTAGGTTCAAGCCTAGCTGTAGAAGGACACGGTATTCAACATTCAAACTGTGTAAGACACAAAATATACAAGCACAAATAAATGACAGTCCTTGGATTTTCTAGGAGATAACATTTTCCTAGGGGAGAAGAATACAGAAGTGTAAGATGGCGCATAATGGGGGGCAGTAAAGGACAGACAATGCTGTAGAGAAATATGTAAGGGAGAAGGCATTTTTCTGATGGCAAACTTCATGGAAAACATGAGCTGGACTCTGAGTTAAGAAAAAGAGGGTATATTCAAGACATGGAGGATGGTTTGTGTGAAAGCAGATAGGAGGCAACAGGTATACTGAATTAGAGGAAGAAGTAATAGTTCTCTCCATTTTCACTAGGACTAAGAGAAGCTGAAACAGAATAATGTAAAGTAAAGTTTTTTAAAGTGGGTTGAAGCCAAAACGTGAAATCCTAAATGCCAGACGAAAGAGTGTGTGTTTTATCCTAAAAGCAATAGGGAGCCATTGATGATTCTTGAGTAGGGAACAATGCAGTCAGAATTATGGCTTATAAAGACTACTTTGGTATCAGTAATGTCAAAGATGGATTGTAGAAGTGAGAGACAAATTAGGAGCTAGTTCCACAGTGCAGGGGAAAGGTGACAAAACCATGCAGTAGGATTTTGGCAGTGTGAAGGAATAAGTTTTAAGGAATATTGCGGAAAATGATTATGTATCACCAGTTTACAAAACTTGTAAGGTAGCTATGGCAGAAAGCAGGAGTGTTTACATTTATTAACCACTCATTCAGACTGTGCTAATGTGCCAATGATGTAATGACAGAGAATCATAGACTCTTTAGAGCTGGACAGAAACTTGGGGATCACTGAGTCTAATCCTACCTGAAACACAATGTCCTCTAGAATCCCCCAATGCCCTGAAAAGACTTCCAGTGATAAAGAACTCAATTCTTCCTCAGGAAGGTGCTAAAATTGTTAGACAATTTACATCACGAAGTTCTTTGTTCTATTCAGTAGCAATGTCTCCTTGTAACTTCATCCAACAGCCCTATTCTGCCCCCTGGTGCCAAGCAGAAAAAGTCACATCCTTCTTCAACATGACAGCCCTTCAACTAGCTGAAGAACAATTAAGTCAGGTGTCCTTTAAGTCTCAACCCAAGGGTGGCAATTTTAATACCACAAGAACCTAATTCTAGATCTATAAAATCTACAAGAGGTTTTTTTAATACCAGAATTCAGCCCTCAACTTCTTGATTATCTTTTGCTTTTCTCTTGAACACTGTTTCTATGCATAATTAGGCAACTTTCTAATTCAAATCAATTCAATACGATTATTTCTAAACTAATCACATAGAAGAATTCTTCAAAAGGCTGATAAGGAGATATACATGACCCATTTCTCCCTGACAAAAACGGCAGCCTAGTCTCAGGAGGCTGGATCCACTCCTTGACAAGGTTCAAGATCAAACTAACTTAGTTTTAGAAAGCTTGTCCAGGTATACTGGAAAGTTACCTTTTAGAACCTTGATTTATTGATATGTTTTTATTTTATTTTGTTTGTGCTTTTACCTTCTATTCTTCTTTCATAAATTGGTTCCTTGCTAACTCAACTATGGTTTCTAATTTAGGAGGAAGACACAAGAAAATGTCATCCTAGGAGACATTAAAGGTGGCAGCAATAATCTGAGTAAAGGAAGAGAGGATGGCAGGGGCAACAATATCCTTAGGCTGATCAGAGTATGAGAAGCAAAGAAAGAGACAGGGGACTGGCTCCCTGCTAGAAAAAGTAGTGGTTGGAGGCCCCTATTAGCTGTGAAATTTGCTGTGGTCCCTCAAATTCCATCACAGACAATCTTTCATCAAAGTAGATTGGTAGGCCAATTTGGGATCAGAGTGGGGGGGGGGGCAGTACAGAAACTAGTTAACCAGAAACTTTGTTGTCAGAATTTTGGACCAGAAAGAGGCTAACTCAGGCTAAGACTCCTTGCATTCTGAAACAACAATTCTATACTCTGCAACTGTGATTTTGCCTTTTCCTCCTTAATTCCAGCATAGTCCTTTTGAAAATGAACTTGTCTTTTGGTAAAGTAAGGAAACAAAAAGGGGTATATGTAGGATGGATGAGGCAAAGACTGGTGGGAATAGCAGATTTTGAAGGGTTGTACTGAAACACTTTTTCAAATACAGGGAGGCAAAGATAAGTAAGCTAGTAGCAGAAAAGGAAATAGACCAAAACTCCTAACAGAATAGAATCCCAAAGAACAGAATAGACCAAAACTCCTAACAGAATAGACCTAAACTCCCAATAGAACAGAATTCCAAAGTTGCTATATTTGTCTATCTGAACTATCATTTCTTACTAGAAAACCATAACTCTCAAGTAATCATGATTAAATCCTTCTGTTAAGAACTATCCAGGAAAATTTAGATTTTAACTAGCAGCCTAAGTGAGAATTAGGGTTAGAGTGAGGATTTAGTGGAAAAAACACCATTTCTAAGAGGGGAACAAACTCAAGAAGGAAATTTTACCCATTTTCTTTTAGATCTAGTCCCCTTTGAGAATACAGACAGGAAAGAAAAGTAGGTGGGAGGGAAGAGTTGTTTCTTTTGCCTAGAGAGTTGAAAGTGCCTCAGATGGTCATCTAATGAGGCCACCCAGAAACTGAAGAGGAATCTTCTCTACAATATTCCTAACATATTTCCTTTCCTTCTCCCTGAATATGTCTGGTAAGAGGGAACCAACTACTTCCTAAAAACATGAACTCCATTTTCATAATTCCAATTGTTTATTTTCCCTGATATCCAGGAGAAATCTGTCCCACTGCAACTTCCTTTCATTCCTCTCAGTTCTGCCCTCTAGGGCAGAACCAGACTAATCTCTTTTCCACATGACAGCCATTCAAATACTTGAAGCCGGGGATCACATTCTCCTTCCATTTTTTTCTTCTTTAAGTTAAATGTTGTCACCACACTAAGGGCCAAGAACATTTACCTTGAAAGATGATTTTGGTTCTGTCCAGTGGAGCTACCGCAGTTTTAGCAAGAGCTCCTGCCAATGCCCCGGATAATAAGGAGTTGAGAACTTTTTTTTTATCATCCTACAACAAAACCAAAAAAGATAAACACTGAACAATCAGTAATAAAAGAAGTTTATTTTGCCACAATCAAATAAATTATCCAATAAGTTGAAATGCAAAACACTTTTGTTTTTAAATAACCATGTGAAAATCAGTTGAGTTCCACCAATTTGTTTCAACCACAGTTTCAATAACTATATACCTTTAGTTAAATCTAGGCCTCAGTTTCTTTATCTGTAAAATGAGCAGGCTGGACTAGATCAGGGGGTCTTAACCTCAGTCTGCGGATAGATTTCAGAGGGTCCATGAATTTGGATAGGAAAAAATTATAACCTAATTTCAAAATAATTGTTTTCCTTTTTAATCCTATGTATTTTATGCATTTAAAAATAGTATTCTGAGAAGGGATCCATAGGTTTCAGTCACAAAAAAGGTTAAGAACCCCTTGACTAGATGGTTTCTAAAGACATTAAATTTAGATTCTTTTTTTTTTTTTTTGCTAGGCAATGGGGTTAAGTGACTTGCCCAGGGTCACACAGCTAGCTAAGTGTCAAGTGTCTGAGGCCGGATTTGAACTCAGGTCTTCCTGATTCCAGGGCTGGTGCTCTATCCACTGCACCACCTAGCCACCCCTAAACTTAGATTCTATAACGTCCATTGGCTCTGTACCAAATAAGGCCAGATGAAATTAAATTCAAGTCTTTCTATGCAAAGTTAACGACATCACTTATCATAATCAGAAGGAAGACAATGTCTGGCAAGACCCTGAAAAGCAGAGGTGACCAGACCTATGAGGTACAAAGTTCTCAGGTCACTGACCTGTGAACAGACAAGGCCTAAGTCTTTTTTGTCTCATTCAAACTAAACAAATAAACCTTGACCCTTTCTATTTAAAAATTTTGAACCAAAAGCTTAAAAGGCAAATATAAAGAATCCTCCTTCGTTTAACTTCCCAACACACACACACACAGAATTCATTACCACCCAGCCTCATTTATTTAAAAAAAAAAATAATGATGCTCTACCCACGGCCACAGATTTTCTCCCTATATGGCCACTGTTCAATGACTACAGTTTGTACCTTTATCCATAGACGGCCTTTGGCACAAAGGGTTCAGTTGAGAGCAAAAATCCATCACTACTTCTGAAATGACTGAACTCTCAAAGAGCATGCTATACTGAAAACAGTTCTCAAATGTCATCAGTACACTAACACAAATACAGATATTCAAACTAAAGTGGTTTATGGATCGGGGGAAACTAAAAAACATTTAGCAACAGTGAACAGCTAGTTATATCAATACAATGGGTCACTCCACAGACTAAGAGCAGTTAATGCCAGTGGGCTTAGATTAGCTCCAATCATTCTGCTTCTCCACTGAGATGGGATGACAATCACAGTAGAATTTTGCAACACAGTGAGCTTTGGTTATAATGTAATATGATGTTATCATAAAACAATGTTGGTCAAGGAATGCCTGTAGTACCAATACAATATAAAAATTCACTCAAAGTTCAAAGATGATTCTAAAACTGGGATATGTTGCACATTAGAGTAGACAGAAAAAAAAACCCAATTAGCATATCCCAGGTGAAAGAAAGGGGCAGGAACTAAAACATTAATTGGAAGAACATTTGGAAACTTTCAAAAATAGATTCACAGAAGGTGCTGAAGAGCCTCAGAGACTGAGGCCTCAGGGAAAAGCCTCTAATCCTTCATTTAAAAAAAAAAAGTTTGATACCTTTGATGTCAAATTGATTTCCAAATATAACCTTTTCCCCTCTCTTTCCCAGCAAGCCTTCCCTTGTGACAAAGAGTGAGAAACAAAAACAAAACACAGTTCAGCAAAACAAAGGAACACATTGATTCAGTTGGGCAGTATGCACTACACTTCATAAGCATAGTCTCCCACCTTGGTACTGAAAGAAAGGAGTTTCACTTTTTAAACTCTTTTCCTGGGGCCAATTTTAGTCATTATTTTTTCATTTTACATTGTTGTAGTAATTGTGCATATTGCTTTACTGGTTCTACTAACTTCTCTCGGTCCTTACAGTCTGGAAGACCTGGAAGTTTCAAATCCTGACTGCCACTTAGTCCAACATTCCTTCTACGGGCAAGTTTCCTGACTCTCAATCTGATATTCATTCCAATAAACCATACTACACCACATTAGGATCATATTATACTGCAGCTCCAACTCTCCCTTGAAACAAAGAAAAAAGATCACCCTGCTGTGCAGTGTCAAGTGTTTGGTCTGAGGCCAGATTTAAACTCAGGTCCTCCTGACTTCAAGGCCAGTGCTCTATCCACTCTACCACCTAGCTGCCCCAATTCCCACATTTTGAAGGGACTGTACTCCAACCTTCCTGGTGAGGTTTTCATTTCCTTAAGGTAAAATGGGAAGCTATTTTAATATTCAAACCTGCATTTTAATGACTCAAGTGGCTGGAATGTCTTATTCCACTCCCAGGTGGGCTGTTTTCTACCTGGTTAATCTGTTTAATGAGGGTAACAGGCAGTATGGTGTGATGTAAAGAGCACCGTGACATTTTGTGGTAAAAATAATAAACCATAGGAGCACTGATATAACATAGTGCATTAAGGTTTGCAAAGCTCTTTACAAATATGATCTCATCTCACTCTCACAACAACCCTGGGATTAGTTGGTAGTGTTATCCCCCTTTTACAAATTAGGAAACTTGGGCAGACAGAGGCAAAGTGACCTGCCCAGGGTCCCTGAGATGGGATTCAAACTCAGGTCTTCCAGACACCAGGCCCAGGGCTTTGTGCACTATGGCACCCCTGAACAGCCTAGTGGTGGCAGAAAAACAGGAAACAAAGTGGATGTCCATCGATGGAGGAATGGCTGTACAAAGGGCAGAGCATATGAATGAATGTACTAAAATGTTTTTCAACCATAAGAAATAATGAATATGAGTATTTTAGAGAAATATGGGGAGACTTGAACTAATGTACTGTGAAGAAGGCAGGACTATCATACAAAATGGCAATACTAAAAGACATTAGAATTCAGATCAGTAATGATGAATCTTAATTTCAGAAGGTTGATGATAGAAACATACTCCCTTACTTTTGGAATAAAAAAAATGATAAATGGGCAGTGTGGAAGGCCACATGTAGATCATTACACATAGCAAATTTGTTGGCCTATTTTTCTTTGGCACAAGAGAAGATGTTCCTTGTAGGGTGGGAGTTGAGAGGTGTTTTAAGAATTGACAGTGATGCAAAACCCCCACCCCTCAAAACATCAATAAAGCATTTCTTTAAAAAGGAAGAACACTGAGCTGAGAACCAAAAGACCAAGGTTCAGTCCTGTCTTGCTTATTACCTAATCTGTAAAATTGGAATACCAGTACTTTTATTTTATCTTCCCTCATAATGTTCCTGTAATGCCCAAATAAGACAAATGTGTGTAAAACACTACATACGTAAATATAGCTCTTATAAAGTAAAAATTTTATCATTAAGTAAAACATAAGGTTCATCATTATTATTAGACATCTGTTAATGTTCTTCTCCAATGCTTCATCATGGCCTCCAGGTGACCCTTGGTTCTTGAAGACTATGCCAATGGAGTTACTCTCTTGAATGTCCTACTGATCAGGAAAGGCTCAGATAAAAAGTCTGATGATGGACTGCATGTCTGCTGCCCAAGGATCAAACCAGTTAAACTGCAAGAGACTGATCACCAACTTGATCATAGGGGTGTGAATATTTCAGCTAAAGCAATCCTTGAACACAAGCTACTAAGTTATAAAGGGGGTTGCAATCACTACTGGTGAAGGAAAGACCCACATCAACCGAATCACTGATCTTTGAAGTATTATTATTAAAACAAGCCCTATTAACCCAAGCAAGAACAGATAAGCAAACAAATGTGTTTGAGATACATAACACACACACGTGCATGTGTATATACACACAGAGGTATATGTATACATGCGTGTGTATATATGTATATACATACTTACATTTATATGTATTGTGCACATGTATATATGTATGTATAACACACACACACACCCCTTTGTCTTGACAACCACGGAGAGTACATGCTAAGTTTCCATCTACTATATTGTTCCTTCACAAAAGTAACTTTGAGGTAGAGCACATTTGCTAGGATAGATCTACAAATTAAACAAGGCAACCAGAAAGGAAAGCATTTGGTGTACTTACTTCACCATTAACTGGTCGAATGGTCTTCACATCCTTCTCTTTTAAACCCACAGAGGCTTCTTTCACACCATTACCCATACCAGTCTTATTGATAATGATAGAGGATGGTATTCCTAGGTTAAAACAAAAATGCACAGAAGTCACACAGAACTCACCTACCTCAGGGAGGGGTATGGAAGCCAGTGATTTGCTGTGCTCACTTCCAGTTCTCTGATCCCAAGGATGAAATTAGAGTAGACTAAAGGAAAGCCTTTTCCACCCCAAACAAGCAACAGTTGTTCTTCTAAGGCAGAGTGGTGCTGTGACAAGAGCCCTAGACTTCGGGTCAGGAACTCCAGTCAAAGGTGACTGTAGCAAATCATTAAGCTTCTTTTGGCCTCAGTTTCCTCATCAATAAAATCGGGATAAAAATAACTTGCACTTTCTACCTCACAAGATTTCTATGAGGAAAGAAATGTGTAAACTCTTAATGCCCTATAGAAATCACAATGAAATCAGCAACCAGATGAAAAAATGCTCCAAATCATTAATAATAAAAATGTAAATGAAAACAATTTGGCAAAGATGTTACGAAAGCAAAACGATGACTGCTTGGCTGTGGGAGGAGAGGCACATCAATCTACTGTTGGTGGAGTTGCAAACTAATCTGTTTCCTGGAAAGTAATTTGGAACTGTACTTACAGTGTCACTAAACTGTGACTTTAACCTGTGTTATTACCACTAGTAGGCATATACCTCAAAGAGATCAAAGACAGAAAGGATTCATATGCCAAATTTTTAGAGCAGCACTCTTTACAGCAACAAAGAATGAGAACAAAGTGAATGTCTGTCAGGGAACAGCTGAACAAATTATAGTATATGAATGCAGGCATATGAATATGGTATGTGAATGAAGGCGACAAGGACTAGACCAGTAATTTTATAGGTATAGGGAACTTCTAAATGAGAAAATTTTCCTTTTGTCAGAAAGGAGATAGCTTTGCAAGGCCCATGTGTGAATTTTTTGCTTGTCTATATTTGTTACAAAGGATGGCAGGCGTTGGGTGATTATAGTGATGTGGGAAAAAAATTGTTAATGAAACATTTAAAAAAAACAGAAGGAAGTTCAGGAGGGGGTGAAGACAAGTGGGTCAGTTTTGTTACTATCATGTTAAGTTTAATATTTACTTTTGTGTAAAAAGAACAAACCTACATATACAGTTACATATACAACTCTCTTTTTTCCCCCAGTTCTTTGTATATTGAAATGTTTTGTTTGTTGGTCTGTCAAGTTTGTAATAAAAAAAATTAAGTAAATCATAGAATTAGAATCACAAGATTGGGAGGGAGCTTGAAGGACATCTAGTTCATACACTACCTGAACGAGGAATCCGTCTGCCACAGAAAAGTTATTCTTTTGACACCTCCTATGTGCTCTACATACAGCAAAGGTCTCTCGCCTCTGTAAAGAAGGCAGGGAGGCAAAGAGATAAAAAAAAAAAAAGGAAAAGGACCTATGTATACAAAAATATTTATAGCAGTTCTTTCAGTGTTGGATTTTGAGGGGATGTCCATCAATTGGGGAACAGCTGAACAAGTTGTTGTATATGTTGTATGTGTATTGCAATATTATTTGTGATGGAATAATATTGTACTTTAAGAAATGATGAGCAGGAAAATCTCAGAAAAAACATGGAAAGACTTACATGAACTGATGCAAAGTGAAATGAGCAGAACCGGGAGAACATCATTCACAGTAACAGCAACACTGTATGATGATCTACTATGAATAACTAAGATATTCTCAGCAACACAATGATAAGAGACAATTCTGTAAGACTTATGACGAAAGGTGTTGTCGAACTTTTTCTTTACTTTCTTTATTTTTCTTGGGTTTTTTGGTCTGTGTTTTCTTTCACTGAATAACTTACATGGAAATGTACTTTTCATGACTACACATGTATAACCTATGTCAAATTGCTTGCCTTCTCAATGGGGAGGGAGAGGAGGGAGAGAATATGGGACTCAAAATTTGAAAAAAAAAAGTTAAAATTGTTTTTACATGTAATTGAGAAAAAATAGAATATTAAATAAGATTTTTTAAAAAAGAAGACTCAGAAAAAAAAGCCAGGGAGGAGTATGTTCATCTTTTGTCAGGTCCAAACTCAGCTGTAATGATCCCACAGCATTCTTTTTCAATTACTTTGCTGGATTTTTCTTCCTATTTCACTTTAGTATTTCATGGTTCATCTAAGTCTTCCTGTGCTTTTCTGCATTTACTATGTAACAGTAGGTTGTAGCATAGACAGCAGCCACACCCCGATAAAACCATCTCATCAGAAGGGCTAAACCAAGCTGAGGATAACCCACGGTCTCAAACCTGAAACTGAGTTAGAGGGATGTCTACCCCAAGCATGTAAAGACTTTCCCTGGAGGAATGAGCGTATGAGAACAATCTGTTCTCACAGCCATGAAGACATCAAAGACTCTAAGGTCATCCATTAGTCCTTGGTCACAAGTTCATTGCCAGTTGTCCTGACTTTTGTCCTGCCACTGGACTTCAATGACTCTGGAAGAGAGAGTGAAGCTGATGACTTTGTGCAACTGTGCCTCACTTAAATCCAATTCACCTATGAGTCAAGACATCACCCCATGATGTCACTGATCCTCTTTGAAAAGAAGGATGAACTACAAAAGCATTTATCAAATTCCTAATTTCCTGTAGCACAATGACCACAGGATCACAGATATAGAAGTGAAAAAGAACTCAGAGGCCACCTGGTCCTACCCCCTCAATTTACAGATGAGGAAACTAAGGCCCAAGGAGGTTACACGACTTAATCCAAAATTATACAGATAGAAAGCATCAGAAGCCAGATCCTCTGACTCTGGAGCCAGGGCTCTTTCCATTATGCTACGAAGCTTCTTAGAGGATATTCTATTACATTCCTGTACCATATTTTACTTATTCATTCCACAAATCAATGGGTATCTCCTTTGTTTCCAGTTCTTTGCTACTACAAAAAGAGTTGCTATAAACTGATATTGCTATATGAATTAATAAATTAATAAATGCTTATTGAATGACTGTTGAATTAAATATCTAAGCTCACTGGATATGAATATAATGGAATACTATTGTGACAAAATAATGAATGAAGAATTCAGAGATACTTGGGAGAACTTGTACAAAATGACAAAGCATGAAGAAAGCAGAACCAAAAACAATATTTGCTATAATTTCAATAATGTATGAAAAGCAATCAAATTATAATTATAATGTATAAAAGCAGCCAAATAATAATGAATAATCTAAAAATCTAGAAAATTTCTTGGTAAGAAGACCTATTTTCTTCTTCTTCTATGAACATAGAATATATAATCTACAACAGACTGTTCTGTCCACTGACTTTGCTTAAATGTTGTTTAACCAGGGACAGGGCAGAGAGTGAGGATTTAAGCTAAGATTATACTATAAAAATAAGACACCAATAAAACAGTTTTTAAAAGAAAAGTAATGAGGGCCTAAACTAGCATGATGGCAAGAAAAAAATGTACGTAGTGAGTTTCCCATCTCTGGAGGTCTTCAATCAGGGACCGAATGACTACTTTGAGGCAGATTTTTTAGAGGGGATTCATGCTTTAGGCAAGGATAAGAATACTTGGCCTGATATCCCTTCCAATTCAGATTCTATATAGAAATTATGTAGAGAACAAGAGTGGTATTATTGGTCTAATTCCATTAAGTACCTACATGATAGTAATTTAATAAGAATAATAGCTATTAAAGCTATCGTTTATAAAGCGCTTTAAGATTTGCAAAGTGCTTTATAAATATCATCTCATTTGAACCTCACAATAACCCTGGGAGGTATGTGCTGTTATTACCCCCTTTTTATAGATAAGAGAACTGAGGTAGACAAATGTGAAGGGACTTGCCCAGGGTCGAACAGCTAGGAAGAGTCTGAGGTGGGATCTGAACTCACGCTTTCCTCTCTCCAAGACCAATGCTCTGTCCACTGGGCCACCTAGCTGCCCCGATTTAGTGTTTTTTTGGTGGCTTTATCCACTAATGAAAAGTTTGTTGAATGACATCTCCTCCGGTATATCTATCCTTCCAATAAACCATTTATCAATCTACCCTATAAAACATCAAACTACCTATTCTTTATAACGCAGATCAAAGGTCCCCCATCTCATATATCTCTTTCTGGCCACCTCTCACTAATGTGGAAAATCACAGAATCTGAGCTGAAGGGACCTTGAAGGCCATAGAATACAACCCATACTGAGTAACAGGTGAAATTTATATAGCACTATAAAGTTTGCAAAATGCTTTACATGCATGTTTTCAAGAATATGAGGAAGGTACTATAGATATTACCCCCATCTTGCAGATGAAGTGAAGTGCCGAAAGGTTAAGAGACTTGCCCATAGAAAACATATGATCTGATGCAAAGTGAAGTGAGTAGAACCAGGAGAATGATCTACACAGTAACAGCAATATTTTAAAGATAATCAATTGGGAAAGACTTAGTAATATTGTCAACACAATGACTCACCACAATTCCAAAGGGCTCATGAGGAAACATGCTATCCATCTCCAGATAGAGAGCGGATGGCCTCAGAATGCAGACTGATGCATATATTTTCTTTTACTTGCTCCCCATCCCCACTCCTTAACATGGCTAATGTGGACATTTGTTTTGAATGACTTAATATTTGTAATGGGTTTTATATTTCTTGCCTCTTCAGCTGGTGAAGAAGGGAATGGGAGTAGGGGAGGGAGAGAATCTGGAACTGAAGATAAAATTATAAAAAGAAAAAAAAAGAGAGATTTGTCCAGTCATAAAGCCAGTAAGTAAGTGCTTATCATTAAAGTAGAAATGAAAATATTTATACATTATCATTATAGTGAAGCCCATTCCTCTGCTGGACTGCTCTGTTATGAAGTTTTTCCTTATATCCAACCTAAATCTGCCTCTGCAACTTCTGCCCACTGTTACTCATTCTGACCTCTAGGGCCAAGTAGAACAAATCTAACCCCTCTGCCATATGACAGCCCTTCAAGTACTTGAAGTCATTTATATCATGTGACACTGGCCTTTCTTACCTTCCCACATTCCTTTTTTTC